TACGGAGCCGATTAGTCGACTTTTTGTCCATCATCTTTAGGTAAGGATGTCTGTTCATAAATAGTGCTTTTGTACTATTTACTGTAACAAATGACAAGCCTTCCTATTAAGGCTTGACACGCACTCTAAACCTACCATACTGCATTAAATGAACATTTAATGCACTGGGTATAAATAGAAGTGTTTTCTTCTCCATGCAGAGTGCGCATCACTCTCTTACTCATTCATACTTTAAGCTTCTTTCAGCTTAAGTAAAAGAACCCCCCCAGCAATATCTTCTCATATATTTTGCTAATCTTTGTGTGTATCTAAAGGTTGTTGAGATAGGTTTCTCTCAACTTATCTTTCCGCAAACAATCTTGTAAAATCTGTATTGATCTTCTTTATCAATATATATTTTAAATTTGAAAATTGTGTTTGTATTCATCCCCCCCTTCTACAAACTGTTTAGTATTCTTGTAGACCCTTTTGGGACCAACAAATAGTTTATAAGGGGTTGTTTGATAATTGTTGAATAGTTTGATGCAGAATGATTAAGTAATCAAAATGATTAAAAGGCTCTCATAATACAATGCAAAATGAAATATAATTGTTTACAATAAAATTAGAATGTTTAATGGTTAAGGAAAGATCATGATACAAAATCATTCAGATGGTTTTAAAATCATTAAGAAACAAACTTCTTTTTGCTAAATAAACAACCCCTAACTTTTTTGTTTCATAACGCTCAGGGTCTCAAGAGTTGACCCAGTCAGTAAACAACCGTTATAACAAACTAATCAGTCTTTAGGTAAACTTTGAGGACCAGTGTAGTTAGCTCTAAATGTTTTGTGAACTGCATCTAAAAAAATACGTGAAAAAAATTGTATCAAGTCTTTTTTTAATGCTTGTCAATCATTTTTTTTTAAATCTTTGTATTATAAATAATTTACATCTCAACGACAAATTAAGATGATGTTTTTTTAATAGATGCTGAAGTTTGAAGTTTTATTTCAATTCTGATTTATAAGAGCTGGTGCTGAAGTATGAAATCTGAATCATTAGGACTGTTTGTCTTTGTAGACTGATAAACGTTTGAATTTGTTTAAATTGTATGTTTTACCCGTTAAAAAATATAGTGTTGAATTTATAGATAAATTTATAAAATTTCACATATTTATTCATCATCATTATGAAATTTACATCTAAATTATATAATTAACATTCATTTAAACAAAATATGTCATTAACGTTGTTTAACACATTTACATCATATTAAAATACATTAATTGAGAGAGGTGATGATTGATTTGGCAAAGATCAGTTGAAAAAATTATCGATTAAGATTAATCGATTGAGAAACGTCATTGTTGAGGATTTGAAAAACAATAAGAGACAAATAAGATGTTGATTTACCTCTTATCGGATAAAAGAAAAATAAGACATAAGTGCCTCAAAAAAATTGAAAGAGACAAACACTCTGAATAACTTTGACTTTTAATGAATCAGACATAAGAGATTAATAAGAATTTTTTTATGAAAAACAAATAAATCCTAAGTTTTTTTTAACATTAAATAAAAAAATTATATTTATTTTAACAAAATTATATTTATGTTAGAAATTTCCAAGTTTAGAAAACCAAGATAAGTTATTATGT